GGCAATGTTATTGTGAAACTGGGGAAATAGAAAGGCCAGCATGTGTGGTGGAGATGTAGGTGTCAGTGTATGGGAAGATCTTTAGGGCTTTGGATGAAATCGGAGGGAAGCGGGTTTTCTTGTTTCATCCAGAAGGACATGAATTAATTAAAGCTCCTCTCTGAAAGAACTTCCTGAGTTTGAGTCTCGTTAGTACCGAGAGCTTCCAGAAAGACACAGATACAATTTACTTTTAGTGTAGTCAGCAGTCTTTTGTGAAATTTTTAAAGTCCCTGTACATTTTTCAGTCAATGCTCACTGCCTACAAACACTCTGAATGCATATGCCTACGCATGCATCCACAAATGAATACACACATGAATATACAGTATATAAACAAATATACTTGTATACAGACAGACCCACAGATATGCGTCAGTGCACACATGCAAAATTTTTCTTCATCCCTTTCTCTTCCTGACAAACCCTGACAAACACACTTATGTATGCACAAACACTCACCGCTTCTTCCTGATCTCTCTGTGTACGTCTCAGCACCCATGGCAATGCTTTTCTCTCTGTTCCACTCACTTCATCCATCCTTTTGTTTCCTATTTCCCAACTCTTCCTCTCTTTGTTTGGATAATCCAAAGTTCAACTGGAGTAGAAAGCGCTCATAAAGTAGAAAACACTATGAATGATTCAAGAATGTTTAAGTTAGACAGAACAAAGGGGTTCGGTGTCAAACCGTGGTTGTTGTTGATTTGCGTAAGATTGTTTTCTGGGGCTTGAGGGAAGGCGGGTGAGGAGGCACAAAAGGTGGAGTAGTGTTTGCTGTTGGCGGGAAACTATGGCTGACCGAAAGGCCGCCGTTTTCCAACATTAGATCGTGAGGAAGAGCATGAGGAGGAGGAGGGGAGGAGGAAGAGCAGCAATGCACTGGGCTGAGCCTCAAGTCGTTCAGCTCAGCCTGTAAGTGTAGTTCTGTGTCATCTACATCATATTGGAGATCACAGTCCGGGCAGTAGCCGTGGTACTGGACCTTCTCACTGAAACGGACGCGCTCCCTCTCACGAGACTCCCTGCCAGGGTTCTTGGGGCATTTGTTCTTTTCATGGCGGAGAAGAGGCATGGGCCTGGGTAATGTAGGAACAAGACCCGACTCAGGGATTCCACTGTCATTAGAAATAAAACACGGCGTGGAGGAGAATAAATCCCTGTTTGGCTTCAGTGGAAAACCCCCGCCATTTCTCATTAGAGACCCGGTAGCCTTTGATATATTCCCTGATAACACTAATGTTGGATGAGGCAGATTCTTAATGTTGTGATCCTCGGCTCTTAGCGGGGTAAGTCTGGGTGGCGGTAGAGGAGGGTGGGATTTCTTGAGTACAGTCAGGACTGTAGGAGGGTTGGTGGGGACCGGGGCGATGGTCGCAGGTAGTTTGAAGATGCAGTCATCAGGAAAGAGCTTCATCTTCTCCAGGCTGGAAGCGGTGGTAGTGGTGGAACTCGAGCTGGAGTTGAGTGTGTCCGTCTTAGAGCTGTCCGTCAGTCCGTCCTCCTCCAGTTGTAGGTCACCAGTCAGGGTGTCAATGTCATGAACAACCTGGTGACAAGAAGAGGAAATGTCATGTGCGACAGCTGACGTCAGGAGAAATTAACAATGTGGCATGAGAAGAAGAAACAGAGCCTACAACAATCAGTTCAGTAAAAAACAAAATGACACTAGTAACTGGGACAAGAATGATGATACAGATAGAAACTTGGAGGGAACAAAACGGTAGTTGAAAAATCATTTCTTATTGATTCATAAAGTTAATATTTTTTTGGCTTCGTATGCTTTATTGAAGAGTAGAATAGCTGGAGAGAGACAGAAAAGGGGTGGGGGTCAGTGAGAGGGGACGACATGCTCAGAAGGGCCGCAGGTCGGACTCTTATTTATTCTTATTAGCTGATGTCCTTATCTCGTCAAGTTCTAATTTAATTAATTGAAAACCTCCTTGTATAAAATTTAAAGAAGATGCATGTGGATTTAGGAGATTGGTTAATGAGATTTAAGATTGGTTACTGTAAGATATCGCTATGACAACCACACCAGGGGAAAAGAAATATCACAACAATTTATGGGAACACCCATGAGCCAGCCAGACTCTGACTTAAGTGATATACTACAACAATCCCACGCACCATCAGAACAGAGATAAGTAACAATATCAACCATATCTTGTAAGTCAAGACACACATAGTATCATTTATAATACAAAACTAGTGGTAGAAATGAATGAAAAACACAGGCGCTGGGTTAGCTCAGTGGGTAGAGCT